TAAAACATAGATTCAAGCTCAATTCTTTATCTCTATAAACACTGTATTTCTTCATCTTTGTATGCCTTACGGACAATATCATAGAAATAGTTAGAGATCAATAAAATAACAGTGGATGTAGGAGTCGCTTGTTTCAGCATCCGAACCACTATAAAAACCCCTCTTGCCAATCTTTTATTTATGTTTTTTGCAACATATATAATTTCAGCTCCATATTCAAATCTTATGGATCCATCACGTGTAATTTCTAAGGCTCTCTTAGCACTTTGCATGTGCGCGTCATTGGCATCCAAAATCAAGCATCAACAGTTTCACTTGCTCTTTTATCCTCTTGCATTATTGGGATAATCCTTGATCTATAGGTTCTCTTAGGGAAATTCTCGATAAATTGCATGCTAGTTGCAATTGCCACTCCAAAACCAACAAGGTTAGCCAATCTGAAAGGACCCATTGGTAATTGCCCCATCAATCAGATAAGGATCTGCTCCACGTTCAACAAGCCAAAAAGCAGCTTGTATGTAAGCAAACACGTAGCCACATAGTGGTTTCTGGGTTCAATTGAACCCATTAAACTTTTTAAAATTTTCAAAAAAATATTAATAGTTTATAGATTTTACAATTTTAACCCCACAAAATAAATTATTAATTAATACTTTATAAACTTTTCTTTTTTCTTTATTTCCTCTCTTTTGCTCTCATATTATATTTTTCCTTTGGTTGGATACTAAAGAAATGTTACTCCTTTGGATTACAAGGTAAGATGATACTAATTTTATTTTTATTTTTTTACTTAAAAGTAATTCTTTTCTTTTAGCTTTCTTAATTGATGAAAGATCAAGAGTTATGAGTTTTTATTGAGTTTAACAAATGAATTTGAAATAATTCCTAAATTTTGATGTGGGTTTTGATTTAATCTTATTTATGTTGAGGTATGGGTTAATTAATTGTTGTTTTAAGTTGAGTTTGATAAATTGTGGTTAGTTGTTGAGTTAATTTTGAATATGGTTCAAAGAATTGATGAAACCTTAAGTTGTAGAGATTTGAGAATTTGGTTTAATTTCGATATATTGGTTAGTTGCTTGATATTTAGAGTTAGATTTAATGAGTTTTCATGGGTTTATGAGTTGAATTTTATTGGGTTAGTAGAAATTGTTTGAAAAACCTAAGTTATGAGTTGAATTTTGATAAATTTGTGTTGTTTTTTAATTGTAATTGCAAATAAATTATATTTCTGATAATAAAAATTCTTTTATTTTTTTTAGTTACGGACAAGTTTTTGATCAAAAGAAAGTTTTCTAATGAGGAACTATCAATTGAACAAAACATAAGGTGTCACGATAGTATTCACAATAAGCCTATGAAATCTAGTTCAAGACAAACATATGTTAAACTTAACTTGAGTAGTCTTCCTGCAGATCCTGGATTGAGGATTAAAATTTTAGAATATCATCCTAATGATAGTGACAAAGTGAGAAAGACATACTTGCAAAAAGGACCTTGCCAACCAGACAATCATAATTTTAAAAAGCGAGCAATTGAGAATTTAATGATTCGTTTTAATCCCATTTGGTTTAGAGAATATACAAATTGTTTGGAGTATAGTGTAGAAAATGAGGGTGTTTTTGTTTGTGTTGTTATCTTTTTAGACATAAAATTAGCATTGATATTGCTTGTTACAACTGCAAGTATTGAAAGAGCATTTTCCGCAATGAAGATTGTGAAAAATCGACTACGGAATCGAATGGGAGATTAAATGATTGTCTTACTACATATATTAAGAGAGAGATATTTGATGGAATTGTCAATGAAGCAATTATGCAATGTTTTTAGAATATGAAAAATCGTCAAGAACAATTGTAAAATTGATAATTTGGTATATATAACTTTTAAAAGTACATTTTTTATGCTAGTACTTCAGTATATATTTTATTGTAAATTTATCAACTTTGATGTTTTAAACCCACTGACTCGGAATCCTGCTTATGTCCCTGTGTGTAAGGGAAGAACATCCTGTTGACAGCAAAGCTGGTGCAATTACCGACCACAACTAGACTGTTCTTTATCTTTTTATCAATATCGAGTAAGTCCACAATCACTTGGGAATAAATCTTATTAGTACGAACAATTTCCAAGAGTTCCATGATATGAGTCGAACTGAAGAAATGGGCTCCAACAATCCGATCCTAACACTTGGTGCCCTCACCAATCAAATTCAAGTCAATTGTGGAAGTGTTACTTGCAAGTATGCAATGTGGTGGACAATATTTTTCAAGATCAGCAAAAATTTGTTGCTTCAAAGAAACATCTTCATTAACAGCCTCAATGACCATATCAAAATCTTTGAAGCTCTCATAGTCCAAAGCACCCTTAAGGAGAGACGTGATCTTGTCAAAACTTTTCTTGAGTCATTTGTCCTTTTCTGAGACGGATTTGCAGATTGGCTCTGACCTATTTTGGATTATTGAGTTTATAAAGTGTTCAATTGACGATGAGGATTAATTNTACGCTCTTCCCCTTATCTTCTGCTTGAGTACAACCTGGTATTGACATCTCTACATACAACCTTCTTCTTCATTATTGGTCAAAGTAAACTCCCGCTATAGTCACTATGACCAAACTAATTTTATTCATAGGAATATGTTATAATTTACTCGAGTCGTGGGAAAAAACTATTGTTTTTACTTCGGTGCGTTTGGTTTATTGTTTTAATCCATATTCTCAATCCTATTCTTCAAATGTTGTTTGGTATATTATTTTCAAAATATTAGTCTATTTTTTTAATTATTTTTAGACCCCATAAGTTTATTAATCTCATTAAATACTCCACAGAAAAAAGATTTAAAAACTAACAGAAACACCCCCACCTACAATACTTGCCAGATTCTGGCAACCACCACCGGTGGTAGCCGGAATCTGTCACAACAGTCACACGACCACCAGAAATGGCCGATAATGGCCAGATTTGACTTTTTCCGATCAGATCCACCACGTATCTAGCCAAAAAATACCAGATCTGGTAGTCAGCGACGGCCAAAAAAATAGCTGGCATTCACTGTCAATGACGGCCAAATCTTGGCCATCGTTGACAGACAACGACGGCCATATCTTTGGCCATCGCTGATGGCCAAAATTGGCCTTTTCCGGCCGTCGAAGGCCACATCTGGCCTTAGATCTGGCATTTTTCGACCAGATCCATGGTGGATATGGCCGGAAAAGGCCATATCGATCGAATACCTGCCAGATCTGACTGGATTTTGTGGTTATCCAATTTTTCAGCCACCACCTGGTGGCTGGAATCTGGCACTTTGGGTGTTAGGGGTGTTTTTGTTATTTTATAATATTTTAATAATTGGGGTGTTTATTAAATTAGCAAACCTTGGGGGCTTTTTCATAAGTTTTTAAATTTTATCTCATAATACTCTCCTATTCAACTATCCAATACTATCCCTAAAATCCTTCCCAAAATAATAAACCAAACGCACCGTTCATTATCCTTAATGCAAGTAATATAGAATAAAATATATACTATATTAATAATTAATTAATAAATTCATATCAAATTCATGATATAAACATCTATATATTTTATAGTATAATATATTATTTATAATATACAGATAATTATATTATAAAAAAACTATAACTTATTACAGTATGAAGTTTATTATTGATTATAACTAATTCAAATTGGGGCCATAACTTTTATTATTACATAAAATTATTCTTATATAGAATATTGGGTTTACACGTACTATAGAATAAAATATATGCTATATTAATAATTAATTAATAAATTCATATCAAATTCATGATATAAACATCTATATATGTTATAGTATAATATATTATTTATAATATACAGATAATTATATTATAAAAAAACTATAACTTATTACANGGAGTCATCATAATCGATATCCGTAATCAAAGTACGAAGATGTTTCCATCTGGTTGACAATGCAGAAGTTCTCAAAACACCTCTTATTGGAAGGAAGGATAGAATGTGAAGGAGGATATGGTCAGGTAATTCGCTAATTCTATCCTTTCTTTTAATCTTACAGATATTGCCCATCTTCACAATTCCAATAAGGAATTTAAACTGCATATATAAACATGATAAAAAACTACACCAGTTTGTTGACCCTTTGCTTATTGTAACTGATGGTTTATCTCCTTTTACTTCTCCAAATCTGTCACTAGATCATAGAAACATGAGGATAGTAAAAATATCACTAAATGATCGCCCTTGGGATCAACTGTCCCGAAAAGAAACTGCAGGACAATCAGAATTACCTGTTGAAAGAGGGTTATAACCAATAGAGTACTATATGTTCAAGAGTTTAAACTACGTTAGATTCTATATTAGGAGATCTTTGAAGAATGTCCCCCAACACTGATCATTTGTACAACCAAGTTTCCCCCTGGAATCAAGACACTAAGCTGTGAAGTCTTAATGATTTGATAATGAAACTAGAAACCTGAAGTAAGGGAGGAATAATCTTCAATTTCAATACTACCGAGTAATTTGACAGTTGAAGCTGAAAGATATCCATGACTTAACCTGAGATGTACCAACTATAGATTTCTCTAAAAGAAGAATTTTTCTCATATGTTCTTTCCATAGAATTGAAGTACATCCAATGATATGTTCAATGTTCCAGTTATATTTAAATTGTTTATCTTGTTGCTAATCTTTAAGAAATTATGTAACAATTTTGTTTGTGCTACACTTACTAACTGTTGCTTAGTTCGATGCACCAATTTGTGAATGCATTCATAAGTGAGCAAACAAATCCATGAATATGGAATTTCTGTTTTCTTTTGCAACAGTTGGCTGTGATATGCCAATTCAACAACTTATGAAATGAAAGGAGTACTGAATAAGAACCATACTCAGTACTCATCATACTCAAATACACTAATTTCTTGACCCTTTGTTTATTGCTTCTAACTGATGGTTGATCTCCTTCAACATCTCTGTATTTTTATAGATTATAGAAACTTGCAGCAAATCTGTCAGTACCCTGTCATCCGAGAAGAAACTGCAGGACAATCACAAATTACTTTATGACAAAAGGGTTATAATCAATCTAGAGAGTTTAATTTTCTACCTATGTTAGGTGATTTTTGAAGAATATCCTTCCACACTAGATAATCTGTATAACCAAGTTTCCTGGGAATCACCTTCAAATGAGTCAAGCGATGAAATAGAGGAAGACCATCTTGGAGATTTTCCTCAAAAAAGAGATGCTTAACCAAACAAGAGAATTAAGAATCAGTCTTTATAATACATTTATATGAAATTTATGAGAAAACAGTAAGCTATCATACCTTAAGGATATCACCTGACAGCGTAAGAGATTTGACATTACAAATTCCAGTCATGAGTTTTAATGCATTTTGAGCAGTTTGCTGAGTGAAACTGTCACTGTCATCTTCAATATATGCATAATTCAGTGAAGATAAATCACAAGGTAAAATTTCAATATTTAGACAATTTATGCTCAGGAGAACCTTCAAATTTTCAGCATAAATTGTGATACCACACCCACAAAGTATGCGTCGGTTGGATGGACAACGAATAACCATTGTTCTTAGACTAGGAATACAAATCTTGATTCTCTTAATACTAAGAGAGATACCTATGTTTAAAACCAGCTCTTGAAGAAGACAACAATCTGAAAAAAGTTGTTCAAGTTGTTCAGCAATCCCTTTCCCATTTTTCAAAAAAAGACTAAGATGCAAAGTCTTAAGATTTGATAATTTAATGAAACTGGGAACCTGAAAAAATGAAGTAATCTTTAACTTCATTACTGTGAGTGATTTGACAGTAAAAGCGTTATCAGGTAATGGTACATTGCCGATAGAATTTTCAAGCTCCTGCAGGTTGCATCTAATTGCAGCAGATATCCATGGCTGAAGCTGAGATGTAGTAATCCACGTATACTTCAAAGTACAAAGGTGTTTCCATCTGGTTGACAATGCAGAAGTTCTGAAAACATCTCCGATTGAAAGGAAGTATAGAATGTGAAGGAGGATATCATCAGGTAATTCGCCGATTCTATCTTGTCTTTCACTCGTACAGATATCGCCCATCTTCAAAATTCTCTCCTTGCAACAAAGAATCTACACTTTATGTATAAACATATCAAAAACTAAGATTTTGATTAACAAGCAGAGAGAATAATAGTATTGATTCTCACCAAATTTTGAAGAAATTGAAAGAACTAAAGAGCGATTTATCTTGGTTCACTCAAATCAAGACTAGGTCAGTAAAAATATTATTTAAATATTTACTTACCTCTCTCGTTACAATGAATGTATTTGTTATGATTTCCTGTATCACTCATAGAAAAGAATAATGTGTTTATATACTAAGTTTTGTGAGAGAAACCTAAATCTACTAAGATTCCTATTCCTAAGCCAAACCCTACCCGTTAGGAGTTAAAGAATCCTACAGCTGCTATTCATAGCTGAAGTGATAGCCAATTCCAACAGAAATGAAGTCAGTATGTGGGATTGTTCAATTATTCTTTTAACTATGAGCATAAATATGTTTGAAGAATTAGATAAAAAGATTCTTAGCTTTGGTTGCAAGTTATTTAGTTTTAATAGAAGGGTATATACTCATCATAAATAAATGTTAAAAGAATAAATTAAAATATTAGCTTACCATTTAAAAATGATATTAGAATAATTTGTCATTGTATTTCCTTAAATAAAGAAGACATTTGTTGTTTATTTACCTTCTTAAAAGCTGGAGGTTCAAATATTGATTGGTAATTTGTCATTATACTACACCAATTGGTTGAGAATGAGACTCAACTCTAGATCATTCTTCAAATTCCCGAATCATTTTGGATAATACTGCACTTACACAAAGACTCTATACAAAGTCTTTCATACAAAGTCGTGAATCATTTCCAATAATACTACACCAATTGCAGCTTCGTTCATCAACATCCCCACTAACTCGTTAAACCGGCTTTGGTCAGTACTCTTTTGTGCATTCCACATACTAACCCAGGGTGCTTCAGAAATTACAGAAAAAAAAAAGATTGGTTTAAATAACTTAGAACGCACTGTTTGTAGCATATTATGGTCGGTTTTTCAACAGGGCAACAATGAGTTACATCTCTGGTAGCAAATCTGACACGGTCTTGGCAGACGCTGGTGGTAACATTGCCCCGGCAGAGAAAGAGACTGTAGACCGTGTTAGGGTCTTGGCCTAGGGTGGTGTTGTAGAAACCATTGGAGAATCCATTGCTGGAGTTGGCGTTGGAGAAAAGAAGTACTTGAGTAATAATTCAAGTATAATAAAAGGGTATTAATATTTCAAAGACAGCAGATAACAAAATCAATGGAAAGTAGTGACAAATTAACTATTTGACACTCTTTCCTCAGAAAACTCTGTTTTACACAAAGCATACCATCAAGGCTGGCGATAGCAGATAATGAAAATTATATCATAAACAAGAAAATATTGAGCATAAATCTCCTCCCTTTCAGGCCACATCTGCCTGAATAAAATTGGCAAATATAGGATCACTATATGATGAAGGATCCTTCAATTCACCAAATACAATATAGAAACAAGCATTTTTGTCACTTTTGGTTGTACAAGTGATTTGAAGTCTAAAACACCCTATTATCGAGGATATACTTCAGTAATCGATGCATCATCAACAGACCATGGGATTGAGTTGCTTTTAGATTGATCAAAGTCAAACTTCTTTGTTGCCATGCTAGCCTCCCTTCTCGTACCAAGGAAAAAGGCTGGTCGTCTAGGTGCTGGAAGAGTAACAGAGTAACTATTAAGCATGAGAACTATTGTTGCCATTGAAGGTCTGTCAGCTGGATCTTCCTGGACACATAACAACCCCATATGTATGCATCTAATCACTTCATTTCTCGAGTAAGAATCTGTCAAGGTTGAATCCAACAATTGCAACGGCATCGCATCCCTCCAATGTTTCCAAGCCTGAAACAATAAATTAGTCACAATCAATTAGCTTCAGCTCTAACTCTTTTATTTCTCCACTCTCTATTTGTATATAAAGATACTAACTCTAACAAAGGGGAAATACAATATACAATTTGCTTACATAGCTCACGAGATCCTCAGCACCATCTGTTTGATAGAAATTGCTGATCCTCTTCCCAGTAATGATCTCTAGTACAAGGACACCGAAACTATACACATCGGATTTCACTGAGAATTGTCCATGCATAGCATATTCTGGAGACATATAACCACTGTGCAACAAAGATTAATATTAAAGACAACAAAGACCCTTTGAATATTAATCGAAAATTTGATTGAATTCACTTTTCTGCTTTCCTTAAAGCAAGTAGTAGTGAACACTTACTATGTCCCAACAATTCTGTTTGTTTTCACTTGAGATTGATCAACTCCAACTATCCTTGCCATTCCAAAATCAGAAATTTTGGGGTTCATATCTCCATCTAACAATATATTGCTAGTTTTAAGATCACGATGTATAATTCTCAATCGAGAATCCTCATGCAGATAAAGCATTCCTCGAGCGATGCCTCCAATCATCTTGTAACGTCTTGACCAATCCAATTCTACTTGTCTTTCATGATCTGCATATGTCAAAGTCAAAATCTCAATTAAACTATTTAGGAGTTGAGTTGAAATTCATAATGAATGAAAGGATCCATTTGGTCTAATGCAAAACAAGGATACTGGACTCATGAATCGTCGAAATTCATGGAGATAGTTCATACCATATAGAAAGTAGTCGAGGCTTTTGTTCGTCACAAATTCATAGACAAGAATCTTTTCTTCTCCCTCCAAGCAAAATCCCAATAGTCTAACCAAATTTCTGTGTTGAAGCTTGGCTACCAATACAACCTCATTCTTAAATTCTTCTGCACCTTGCCCAGATCTGCTTGATAGCTTTTTTACTGCTATAGCTTCTCCATTAGGAAGTATGCCCTGAGAATATTCATTAACAAAACGTTAAATCATCTGTTGAACCGACTCTGTCTAAATAAATATAACAGGAATCAATGCTATACGTACTTTGTAAACTTCACCAAATCCACCTTCGCCCAACTTGTTATCAGTTGAGAAATTTTTAGTGGCTGCCTCAATTGTCCCCAAATCAAATTGCAAGGACTCTACAATCATAATTTCTTCATTTCCAACTGCGAAGGCACAGGCACAGCCAAACATTTAAAGCATAGACAAATGGGAAAGTAAAAGATTGTTTGGATAGTTAATACCATTATCGTCCAGTGGAGGACTATTCTTCTTTCTTGCTCTCCTAATTAGGAGGCAATAGCCGGCTATGAAAAGTACTACAGCTACAACAATTGGAGCAATTATGGCGATGATTATTGAAGATGAAATTCCGCTGTTTCCTGAAAGAAAAATAAACGAATATATAATAGTAATTTAAAATGATAAAGCTTAAATTTACTGAAAATGATAATGAAAAGTAATCAAAGTGGTTTAGTTCAACTTTACCTTTAGGGGGTGGAGAAGAGAGCACTGGCGTCGGCGGCGGTGCGGCAGTAACGCTTTCATTATAAAACGGGTACAATTCAAACCGGCTATTACAGCTTGGAAGCAAAACTCTTGCTCCTACCCGGGTAGTCGGCAAAGTAGCAAAAGATTGTTCAAGACAATTGTTACAGTCCAAATTTGACAGGTCTGGTGTGCACTGTACGAGATAGTACAGTGTTTGAATGGTTGTGAAGTTAGCCTTTCTTGTCGAAAATTTTTTAGGGGAAGCAGCAGCCTCATTTGCTGCTTCCTTCATTGTAGTCCCTACTAGCAGGTTAAACCGGACTTGTTCTGTAACATTGTTAGAGTCGTAAAAAACCGCACCGGGGTTACCTTTCATCGTAGAAAAGATATACTCGTCTGAGTAGCGTAAAAGGCACGGATCGTACCATATTATACTTTCTTTTTGAACAGGACAACGTTGAAGAATGTCTGAGGTAGCAAAATTGACACACTCTTGACAGGTGGTGGGAGTGACATCACCTCGGCAAAGAAAGAGAGCGTAGACCTTGTCAGGGTCTTGTCCTGCTGTGGCGTTGTAGAAACCGGTGGAGAATCCATTGCTGCGGGTGGCGTTAGAGACAAGTGAAGAGAGGAGAAAATTGAGTTTAGATTGATAGGTGCTATTTCTGTTAAAAGTTGTTGTGTTTGTGCAATCATGGAAAAGATATTTTGGATCAGCAGCACTTGTTAAACCGATAGCAGAAGTTGCAAGATAGAGAACAAGAAAGAACATGAAGAATTTCAAGGAGGGCATTTTGATTCTCAGCTCTTAGGCTCTTCCTCTTAGCTTCTGTTTGAGGACAACCTCGTACAGTGTTAGTATCTCTACCTGATTAAGAGAACACAGAGTCAAATCTGCGGGAAATTAAAGCTTGGAAATGATAAGTAGGGTAACTGATGTTGACTTGAGTGGATATAAAATGCCAGTTTTTTATTCAAGGCGGCCCATCCCACTTATCACATTTAACAATAGAAAATTAATTGGTTTGACCATGTAACAAAGTAAGGAAAAATGTGACAGAACAGAGAGAAAAGAATTTTCTAGAGAAAGTTTTCTTCAATTCAAGCATCATTTTAGTCCCACTCTCATTTGCAATCTGTTGAGTGAAGCTTCAACGGTGTCTAAGTGAAACGCTGACGTTTTGGTGTTAGCTTAAGTGACAATCCTCAGCCATTGATTCTATTCAGATCTGACGGCCATTATTAGCTCATTAAGTCAAAGGTATAAAAGCAGCAAATCTGGAAAATTCACAGAAGCTTCGTCTTCTTCTTTCACGCATTTTACAACAGGTTTTAGTCCTCTGATTTTCTACTCTTTGAACATTGTAATCAGGTTAGATTCTTGTGAATNGTTAAACCGGACTTGTTCTGTAACATTGTTAGAGTCGTAAAAAACCGCACCGGGGTTACCTTTCATCGTAGAAAAGATATACTCGTCTGAGTAGCGTAAAAGGCACGGATCGTACCATATTATACTTTCTTTTTTAACAGGACAACGTTGAAGAATGTCTGAGGTAGCAAAATTGACACACTCTTGACAGGTGGTGGGAGTGACATCACCTCGGCAAAGAAAGAGAGCGTAGACCTTGTCAGGGTCTTGTCCTGCTGTGGCGTTGTAGAAACCGGTGGAGAATCCATTGCTGCGGGTGGCGTTAGAGACAAGTGAAGAGAGGAGAAAATTGAGTTTAGATTGATAGGTGCTATTTCTGTTAAAAGTTGTTGTGTTTGTGCAATCATGGAAAAGATATTTTGGATCAGCAGCACTTGTTAAACCGATAGCAGAAGTTGCAAGATAGAGAACAAGAAAGAACATGAAGAATTTCAAGGAGGGCATTTTGATTCTCAGCTCTTAGGCTCTTCCTCTTAGCTTCTGTTTGAGGACAACCTCGTACAGTGTTAGTATCTCTACCTGATTAAGAGAACACAGAGTCAAATCTGCGGGAAATTAAAGCTTGGAAATGATAAGTAGGGTAACTGATGTTGACTTGAGTGGATATAAAATGCCAGTTTTTTATTCAAGGCGGCCCATCCCACTTATCACATTTAACAATAGAAAATTAATTGGTTTGACCATGTAACAAAGTAAGGAAAAATGTGACAGAACAGAGAGAAAAGAATTTTCTAGAGAAAGTTTTCTTCAATTCAAGCATCATTTTAGTCCCACTCTCATTTGCAATCTGTTGAGTGAAGCTTCAACGGTGTCTAAGTGAAACGCTGACGTTTTGGTGTTAGCTTAAGTGACAATCCTCAGCCATTGATTCTATTCAGATCTGACGGCCATTATTAGCTCATTAAGTCAAAGGTATAAAAGCAGCAAATCTGGAAAATTCGCAAAGCAGCTTCGTCTTCTTCTTTCACGCATTTTACAACAGGTTTTAGTCCTCTGATTTTCTACTCTTTGAACATTGTAATCAGGTTAGATTCTTGTGAATCTTGTTAGCAGAAATTACAGAGTATTGTTTCTGCTATAGGCTTTCAGTTTTTCGGGTTAGCTTATTGTGATTACAGGGAGGTTTGAGTGATTGTTGTATAAGTGTAAGAGTTGAGAGATTTGGGTTGTGATTGAGTTGTACTTGTAATACTTTGATCCTTATAGTGCAGTGAGTCCCAATTTGCTTGGAGCTCAACGTGGACGTAGTTTATTCCATTGGAATAAGCGAACCACGGTAAAATCTTGTGTTCTTGATTGTGTTCTTGGTAGTTTAAGCCTTGTGACTTTGTTTGTGAGTGTTGATTGATAGGTTTGAATTCGGTTTCACACACAACACAATCGTTGACTCTTTTTATCTCTAAACTAAGCTTTAACTATACCATGGTATTACTTTAACTTTAACACAGTTAATCACAACTATACTCTAACTACTAGACAACTCTGAGCTGTACTCCAATGGAATCCATTGCCGGAGTTGGCGTTGGAGGGAAGAGATAGAGAAGAGTGAGGTTAGACTGTAGGTGATTCTTATGGAGAAAGTTGTGTTTGAGCAGATGTGAGAAACGTATGTTGGATCAGCTACACTGCTGAATCTGAGCAAAAAGCTTAATAGGGAGAGAAACCCAAAGATCATGAAGTACAATAATATAACTATTTGATGCTCTTTCCTCAGAAAACTCTGTTTTATACAGAGCATAACATCAAGGCTGGCGATACAACATTGTGAAAATTATATCATAAACCAGAAAATACTAAGCATACATCTCGTCCCTCTCCGACTACATCTGCCTGAATAAAATTGGCCAATATAAGATCAATATATGATGAAGGATCCTTCAGTTCACCAAACTACAATTCAGAAACATTCATTTTTGTCACTTTTGGATGTACAAGTGAATTGAAGTCTAAAACACCCTATTATCGAGGATATACTTCAGTAATTGATGCATCATCAACGGACGATGGGATTGACTTGCTTTTAGATTTATTAAAGTCAAACTCCATTGTTGGCATGCTGGCCTCCATTCGACTACCAAGGAAAAAGGCTGGTTGTTGAGGTGCTGGAAGGGTAACAGAGTAACTATTAAGCATGAAAACTATTTTTGCCATTGTGGGCCTGTCAGCTGGATCTTCCTGGACACATAACAACCCCATATGTATGCATCTAATCACTTCATTTCTCGAGTAAGAATCTATCAAGGTTGAATCCAACAATTGCAACGGTGTCCCATCCCTCCAATGTTTCCAAGCCTGAAACAATAAATTAGTCACGATCAATTAACATCAGCTCTAACTGTTTTATTTCTTCACTCTCCATTTGCATATAAAGATACTAACTCTAACAAAGGGGAAATACAATATGCAATTTGCTTACATAGCTCACGAGATCCTCAACACCATCTGTTTGATAGAACTTGCTGTTCCTCTTACCAGTAATGATCTCTAGTACTAGAACACCGAAACTATACACATCAGATTTCACTGAGAATTGCCCATGCATAGCATATTCTGGAGACATGTAACCACTGTGTAGTGAAGATTATGTTAATATTAAAGACAACAAGAAACCTTTGAAGATTAATGAAAAAATTTGCACATTAATCTATTTAAGGCTAACCAACTGGTTATCCAGATGTTATGTCGAGGGCCATTTGGTATACCAAATGAAAAATGCATTTGTGATAAAAGAAAGCTCAAAGACACATTGTAACTTTGTGTTGAGAATTTCTAGTAGAAATTTGTAAACCATCATTCGACATCTTTTCTCTTTCGGAATGATTCAACAGTTAGGATTATATAATTAATGAATGAATTCATTTATCTGCTTTTCTCAAAGCAAGTAGTAGTCAAAACTTACTATGTCCCAACAATTTTGTTTGTATTCGCTTGAGTTTGATCAACTCCAAATATCCTTGCCAAGCCAAAATCAGAAACTTTTGGTTTCATATCTCCATCTAACAATACATTGCTAGCTTTAAGATCACGATGTATAATTCTCAATCGAGAATCTTCATGAAGATACAACATTCCTCGAGCGATGCCTTTAATTATCTTGTAACGTCTTGACCAATCCAATTCTGCTTGTCTTTCAGGGTCTGCATATGTCAAAGTCAAAATCTCAAATTAAACTACCTAGGAGTTGAGTTCAGATCCATAATGAAGCAACTCTGCCCATCTACAAAGCATGAATAAAAGAATCCATTTGGTCTAATGCAAAACAAGGATATTGGACTCATGAATCGTTGAAATTCATGGAGACAGTTCAAACCATATAGAAAATAGTCGAGGCTTTTGTTCATCACAAATTCATAGATAAGAATCTTTTCTTCTCTCTCCAAGCAATATCCCATTAGTCTAACCAAATTTCTGTGTTGAAGCTTGGCTACCAATACAACCTCATTCTTAAATTCTTCTGCACCTTGCCCAGAGCCGCTTGATAGCCTTTTTACTGCTATAGCTTCTCCATTAGGAAGTATGCCCTGAGAATATTCATTAATAAAACTTCAGATCATCTGTTGAACCGACCATGTCTAAATAAATACAACAGGAATGCTATACGTACTTTGTAAACTTCACCAAATCCACCTTTGCCCAACTTGTTATCAGTTGAGAAATTTTTAGTGGCTGCTTCAATTGTCCCCAAATCAAATTGCAAGGACTCCACAACTGTAATGTCATCATTTCCAGCTACACAGGCACAGCCAGACATAAAATAATTTAATCATCCGAAAGATTGCAACAATAACATTTCTAGAGCACAGACAAATGGGAAAGTAAAAGATTGTTTGGATTGCTGATAGAATAACTTTTTAGAGATTTACCATTATCTTCTAGTGGAGGACTATTCTTCTTTCTTGCTCTCCTAATTAGGAAGCAATAGCCGGCTATGAAAAGTACTACAGCTACAATAATTGAGCAATGATGGCGATGATTATTGAAGATGACATTCCGGTTTTTCCTGCAAGAACGGTAACATTTTTATTTTGTACACCAGTGTTCAGATTTACTCGGTTCTTCTAAAGAGCTCCAATTTTTATTGTAAACTAAAAAATAGATATGAAAAGAATTCAAAGTGGGTTAGTTTAACTTTACCTTTAGGCCTTGTTACAGAAACAGAAGGTGGAGAAGAGAGCACAGGCGTCGGCGGCGGTGCGGCAGGAACGTTTTCATTATAGAAGGGGTACAATTCAAAGTGGCTACAACAACTTGGAAGCAAAACTCTTGCTCCTGCCTGGGTAGTCGGCAAACTAGAAAAAGATTGTTCAAGACAACTGTTACAGTCAAAATCTGACAGGTCTGGTGTGCACTGTACAAGACAGTACAGTGTTTGAATGGTTGTAAAGTTAGCCTTCCTTGTCGAAAATTTTTTAGGGGAAGCAACAGCCTCATTTGCTGCTTCTTTCATTGTAGTCCGTACTTGCTGGTTAAACCGGACTGGTTCTGTAACATTATTAGTGTTGTATAAAATAACACCGGGGTTACTGTCCACGGTAGAAAAGATAGACTCGCCTGAGTAGCGTAAAAGGCACGGGTCGTACCATATTATACTTTCTTTTTGAACAGGACAACGTTTAAGAATGTCTGAGGTAGCAAAACTCACACAGTCTTGACAGGCGGAGGGAGTGACATCACCTCGGCAAAGAAAGAGAGCGTAGACCTTGTCAGGGTATTGGCCTGCGGTGGCGTTGTAGAAACCGGTGAAGAATCCATTGCTGGTGGCGTTAGAGACAAGTGAAGAGAGGAGAAAATTGAGGTTAGATTGATAGGTGCTATTTCTGTTAAAAGTTGTTGTGTTTGGGCAATTATGGGAAAGATATGTTGGATCAGCTGCACTTGTTAAACCGATAACAAGACTTACTAGGGAGAGAACAAGAAAGAAAATGACGAAGAATTTCCAGCTCTTTGGCTCTTCTCTTACCTTGAGGACAACCTAGTACTGTATTAAGAACGCAGAGTCAAATCTGCGGAAAATTCAACCTTGGGAATGAGAACGCGGCAACGCGCAACTGATAGTGACTTGAGTGGATATATAATGACTAAGTTTTATTCGCAGCGCCGGCGGCGGCTCATCCCACTTATCACATTTAACAATGGGAAATTAATTCGTTTGACTTTGACCAAAATAAATCACGGGTTAGAATAAAATTTCAATGGCAAATTATTAGAGATAATAGCATTTTATATAACTTACGCTGTCGTATTTTGATTTTAATTTTGGTAAATTTCCAAAACTAAGAGAGCATTTGGATAAGGAGCATAGAAGATAAGAAGGATAATCTTGGTCGTTTTTTTTTATTTTTTTGTGTAAGATTTTGGTATTTAGTTTGTAATTAATAAAATATTACTGGTCTTTTTTATTGTAAATAGTATTTACTGTTAGTAATGTAAAGGTAACCTGATAC